TGCGCGGCCGCCCTCTCAGGGTAAAACTTGAGGGTGAGCAGTTGCTTCTTACAGATGAACAAAGAAGGTGGTGTCCCAGGATGGAATCTACTCCCGGTGAAGATGCCATGAAGGTGGTTGAAATGACAACACAGGATTCACAATTATCACAGAAGTTTAGTTGATAAAGCAGCAGCAAGGTTTGAGAGGACTGACTCCAGTTTTGAAAGAAGTTCTACTGTGGGTAAAATGCTATCAAATAGCATCGTGTGCTACAGAGAAATTGTTTGTGAAAATAATCAATCCATGTGGCAAACCTCATGCCGTCTTAGCAGAAATTGCCTCAGCCAGCCTTCAGCACCCACCACCCTGATCAGTCGGCAGCCGTCAACGTTGAGGCAGGACCTTCCCCCAGTAAAAAGATTATGACTTGCTGGAAGCTGATTTGACGCTTAAGATTTTTTTTAGCAATAAAGTATTTTTTAATTAAACTATGTACATTTTGGGATGCCTGGGTGGCTTAGTCAGTTAAGCATCTGCCTTTTGGCTCAGGTCATGATCCCAGGGTCCTGGGATCAAGTCCCACATTGGGCTCCCTGCTCAGCAGAGAGCCTGCTTCCCCCTCTGCTCCCCTCCCCTGTTCATGCTCACTCTGACTCTGCCAAATTATGTCAGAGAAAAAAGTATGTACATTTTTCAGGCATAATGCTATTGCATACTTAGTAGACTCTGGTATAGTGTAAACACGACTTTTATATGCCCTGGCAAACCAAAAAGTTCATTGATTCACTTTATTGTGGTATCCACTTTATTGCCTTGGTCTGGAGTGTCTCCCCAATCTCTCTGAAGCATCATATGTACTTCAGTGTTTGAATTTCACCTTGCAGTTTGTTGATGTATTTCTTAAGTGTTTTTTAAATGGTAGATTCCCACTTCATTCTCCCCCCTTTCCCTTTACCATATATTTGTTGAAGAATGATTTATCCTATAGTTTTCACTATCTGGATTTTGCTGATTGTATTTCTATGGTGTTGTTTATCATGTTGCTTTGCCTTTGTTTTCTGTAAACTGGTGGTTGTATCTAAAGGTTTGGTCAGATTGAGCATTGGTTGGTTGGTTGGTTGGTTGGTTGGTTTTGGCAAGACTACTTGATATGTGGTGTTAAATGCTTTCACCCATAAACTCATAATGTGTAATTATCTCTTGCTTTTTGATATTTAAAGTAATTAAGCGATGCCTACATCTGTTAAATCATTAGGGTTTTCAAAATGGTGATATTTCAGTTCTATCTTTGCTTCTTTGTTTATTAATTAGAATACTTCTTTCATAAAAACTTCCTTTTATCTACTATTTGGCTCGGCAGTGATGTAATTCCTGGAGAAAAGCAGGATAAATGATTCTTTTGCTTTTTTCCCCACCTACTTTCAAAACAGTAGTTGGCTTGCTAGCACTCAGCAACAATGACCAGTTAGTTTCAGTCCATTGCAAGTATTATGCTTACCAATATTCAAGTTGTCCCTTCTTTGGCTAATGGGAAGCTCTTCAAATTGGCCCGAGTCCTGTTGGCATAGCCCTAAGAACCTCTGATAAATGTGTTATTATCTGTTACAACAGAATTTTCCAGGCTTTTCCAGGCTCATCTTGAACATTTCCTGTCCCAGATCCAGACTGAGTCATTTCTTGAAGGAGTCTTGGTTCTGTTCATTAGGGAGATAGTCATACCAGGTCACAATCTGGACGCTAGCAGTACTTCTTGCCATTGGGTTGGTTGTTCACAGGCCTTTTCACTGTTCAGAGTCAGGAAATAGATGTGTTGTGTGCTTGATGCCTTTTTTAAAGGAGATGCAATGTGGGTTCATACTCATACTTTGAATTCTTATTTAGCACTACAGAGTTTTTTCTAAATTGCTTTTATCTTATATCTGTATCTCCTTTCTTACCTACTGGGAATCTCACTTTACAACAATACCAGCAGTGATAGAATTGGGCTAGCACATAAGTACCTAATTGTTTTATCCAGGCACTAGTAACGGTCCAATAATAACAGCAACAGCACTCCCATTAATTACTGGAAACATTGCTTTAAAACCTTTTAAGGCTTTTTTTTTAAAGGTTTTTAAGTTCTGGAGTTCCCCTTCCTGGCTTGTTTACTTGGAAGCCCACTATTTATTTTTCAGGACGCACTTCAGATAGCCTGTCCTTGGGGAAGTTTAAATTACTTACTCCTCTGTGCTCTCGTACAGCTCTTTGTACGTTCCTCTGTTAGAGCACTTCTTATTCACAGGGACATAGACTGAGAATCCCTAGAGAGTGAAGATTTATTGACCAATATAGCTGCAGCATCCCACAGGCTTTGGGGAAAGCTTGATTTTGAACTTGACAGTTCATAGATCCGTCACATGCACACATGCTTGGTTCGTTTGCCTGGTGACTTGAGCACTTTTTACTTGTTCATTCATTGAGGGCCTACCCTTGGCCACCATTTGCTGGGTCACTGGGGTCAACAGTGGAGATTGGACCTTCCCCTCCCAGATTTTACACCCCATTTTCTATCTCAGGTTTCAGATAGACTAGAAGGCCCTGCTAAATTAAAAAGAGAACCCTAACTTGGGGAACTTTGGGTTTGAACACCCCCGATCAGGCTTGGGTGCAGGGGTGCCGCCACGAAGGGGGCTAAGGGCTGGCCTGGGTCGCAGTGGGACCACCCAACATGGGGAGCCTGAAGTGGCCAGGAATCGGGTTGTAGGTAGGTAAGAGGCAGGGGAGCTCTGGCTGATGGTGGCATTAGGGACCAAGTCTGGCACAAAGGACAGTATCATCTTACTCGCCACCCTCTGGGCTAAGCCCCAGGAATCCCCAGCCTCTGTCAGGCTACCTACTAAAGGTTGGCAGCCGGGCAAGGGAAATTTTCTGTCTTTAATCCCTCCTCTGGTCTTGACATTAATTTGGAACAGACAGCTGGAGAGATGAGAGAAAAAGAGCATGTTTATGAAAATAAAATCTTCAGTGCCTGCCCTGTGGGCTCGTTTGTCTCTACCTTTATTTAGCATTTCAGAAGCCCGAGCTAATGTTTACCAGAAGGTGAGGAAAGACTGTTCTTCCAGTCCAGCAAACTGCAGCATTCATGCTTCTCCAACCACTTTTCACAGATATATTGTTGACAACATTTCTCTTTTCTAGAGCCGGGACATTGAGGCAGATACCCCTGCCTTAGGCCCACCTTCCTAGTTGCGATCCTACCCCCGAGGGTAGTAGGAGGCCTGGCACATTCTCTTAGGTTGGAGGCCATTTATTAGGAAACGGCCTCTCTGCCACATTTCTTAATCCCCACCCTGGATTTAACTATATCTAGCACCTCTTCCCAAATTTTCATCTATTGCAAATCGCCAGCTAGGTGTACCAACAGATGATTCAAATTCATTACGTTCAAGACTAAACCCATCTCCCCTGCAACCAGATCCTCTTTATATTTTCCTGTCTCCGTGAATGGCACAAAACCATCCACATTGCCCCTGACGTTAGACTAGGTTAGGTTCTTTATTATACTGTCTCACAGTACCTCACAATTACAATTACATAAGTAATATGTTATGTATATGTTTACCTGGTAGTTTTCACTGCCAGACTGTGTAACTTTCTTGAGAGTTGGGACCATGGTGCTTTATTCATCATGGTACGCCAATGCCCAACCCATCTGACACGTGAGTCCTTAATCACTATTTGTTGGAATAATTAAGAAATCCACCTGGCCACCCTAGAAACCTCATCATCAATGTAGAATCCCCCTTCTAACCTTCCATATCTTACCTGTCCGTACAACTTGTCTATTCTACCCCTGAAATGTTTCTCAGGTCTGTCCTATTAGTACTCTGCCTGATGTTCCTGGTGTTCAGGACCCAATCAGCTCACATTTGGACTATGATAATAACTTGGTGGGTTTCTCTATCTCTTTTCTTTTCCTTCTTCCAATCCATCCTATGCATAGCCAAAGCACTTTTCAAAAAATTATAAAACTGTGTCACTTACGAACTTTCTTTTCTTCTTCTTCTTCTTCTTCTTCTTCTTCTTCTTCTTCTCCTTCTTCTTCTTTTTTTTGCCTCTGATCGTCTAAAAGACAAAATCTATACTCCCTGCAGGATCAGTCCCTAATCTGTTTGTCCTACCTCATATCCTGCCGTTGTCCCCTGCACAACCTTGTGCTTCAGCAACCACAAACAGCTCTCCAGTTTTCAAATCTTTTCATGTCCCTCCATATTTACTTTATTCCTCCTCTAGCACCTAACACAGCTGTTACAAGGAAGGGAGACAAAGAAGGATGGGGGAAGGTAGCTATGGGATCTGGCAGAGGAAAATCACTGGTTTTCCAAAGTAATAGAGGAAAACTTTTTAAAATGTCCTCTCCCCTCCCATAATAAGTCTTCTTGGAGTTGGTGACTCAGGGCTCCAGGTTGTCTGGTATTGAAGCTATACCTCTGAACATAAACAAGTACCCTTCCCTACAGTTTAGGTCCTTTCTAAATATGGGGGGGGTATCTTTTTCTTTCTTTATTATTATAATTTTTTTAATGTTATGTTAGTCACCATACAGTACATTATTAGTTTTTGGTGTAGAGTTCCATGATTCATTGTTTGCATATAACACCCAGTTCTCCATGCAGACCGTGCCTTCCTTAATACCCATTACCGGGCTCACCCATCCCCCACATCCCCAAAAACCTCAGTTTGATTCCCGGAGTCCATAGTCTCTTATGGTTTGTCCCCCTCTCTGATTTACCCCTCTTCATTTTCCCCTTCCTTCTCCTGATGTCCTCCATGTTATACCTTATGTTCCACAAGTAAGTGAAACCATATGATAATTGTCTTCCTGTGTTGGGCTTATTTCACTCAGCATAATCCCCTCCAGTCCCATCCATGTTGATGCAAATGGTGGGTATTCATCCTTTCTAATGGCTGCGTAATAGTCCATTGTAATATCCAATGGGGGAGTCTTTTTCTTAAAAGTGACTCTTTTTGTTTTTCAGTTCTCTTTTCTGGTTTTTGAAGTGTGGTTCTTTGGGACATGGCATCTACTGCAGGGAAGCAAGCCAGCGGGAAAACTGATGGCATGGCCCACCCTCCGGCAGCTGTAAGGTGCCACGCTGAAGTCTCATCACCCAATTTAACAAACAGTAACTAAATGTTGTTCAGTCCATGTGTCTTTCGGCTCTTCTTTCTCACCTGTCAGTTATCGTTGTAACTATGCACCGATTTAGGACAAAATACAAGGGAACGTGGGAGGTGTGCCTGCCATCTGCCTCTCGCTGTCCTGGGATGCCCTTAACATGTGAAATGGATCCATCCTAACGTCTGTTGACTTTCTTCGGAATTGTATACAGATGATCCTCTAAGGTGATCCTCTTCTCTCCAGTGCTTGCCATCGTAAACTGACCGAACTGTATGAACTTTGGTTTGGATTCATTGGGAGCCTGAACAATTTGTCTATGGTGACTTGACACTGGGCAACCAAACCTGATTGTTGCAAAATAAATACCTCATAGAATGTCTGTCTGCATTTCATGACTTTGACCTCAAGTTCTTCTTTGATGTTTTATCTTTAGCATGCTGGAAGCTGCAGTAAATCTGGATTTATTTAATGAGATAGCTGTTGGGATGTGGGGATTAAAGTGGACATCAGAATTTTTCCTCCAGTAAGTATGGAACAGAGGGTTGAAAGAACTTGCTCCCTTATAACATATTTTGACACAGAGATTTTAGAAAAAATTTTTTAGGGCACTTTGAGCTCTTCTTCATGGTGGCATGACTCCTGGATATAGTGTATTAAAGGGAGAAACCAGTGACAACTTAGTTACTTTGTTTTATTTTTTTATTCAAAATGTGTGCCATCTGGGAGGCTGGGCTTCTGCCGGTCAGGATTGCTGATCCCCTACTGTTTCTGTTGTCCTCTTCAGGCCAGGAATTTCCAGTGTATTTCTGAGACAGCTACAAAGACACACGTGGACTTAAAAGGCTGGTCACACCGAAAAAGGAAGAGGTACACAAATTCAGGCCACCGTGAGCTTAAGGTCAAGTTGGCAAACCTCCCATCAAACACAGGGTACCCTCCCCTCCATGAATTTACTTCACAAATGCAGGTAGTGCTCATATGTGCTGGTCAGCATTCTAGGTGATGGGGCTGGAGCAGTGAACAGAACAGACCAGGTCCCTGATCCCAGGGATCCTGCGGGCACACGATCATGGCTGGGGGGTTGCCGGCCTCAGCCTCTTCAAGGTCGCTGTCTCCTCTGGGAACAAGTCCTTGTGCGCACATCTCTGCAGCTTTTGCCACTTGGTCTGAGCTCTTCCCCTGGGCCTCTCAGATCTAGTCTGAGCTTTCTTCCCTTTGTTGACTTCAGATGTTTGAAAGCAGCTCTTCTTCCCTCCTCCCCCCATCCCCCACCAGCTCAGTGTTTATTCTGTCTTCAGGGACTCTTTGGAGAACTTGGTGTCTCTACCTTCCAGACCTTTTCTGAGCTGGTACCCTGGTGTTCTTTCATTAACACCTGACTCCTGCTGCCCAAGGCAGTGATTCTTACACATGTGGACCCTGTGAGCGGCCGGTACCTGCCATCTACAACCTCCCCTTCCTGTGTCTCACCAAAAGTGGCAGGATTTTTATCCACTAAAGAATAGAAGGATAATATGAAATAATAAATATATATATGTATATATTAGCCTCTGCTACGGTTTCTGACAGAGCTGCTAAGAGCCTTGCTATTTCCTGTGTGATAGAGTGTCTGACAGAGCTCCCAAATTTCTTGGAATTTCCTGGGTGGTGGAGCATTTTTTTTTTTTCTAATGAGGTGACTCTTGGGGTGGTGGGATCTGGATGGGGCTGCTCACCAGGAAGACCAAGCCATGACTAGAAGCTGGGAACTTTCAGCTCCACTCCCCATTCCCTGGAGAGAGGTGAGGGCCTGGAAATTGAAGTAATAATCGATCAGGCCCGTATGATGAAGCCTTCATAAAAACCCCAAAAGAACGGGTTTGGAGAGCTTTCAGGTTGGTGAATACATCCACCTGCCAGGAGGGTAGTGCATCCCCAGCTCCGAGAGAGACAGAAGCTCCTGCACCTAGGACCCTTCCAGACCTCGTCCCATGTATCTCTCCACCGGGCTATTCATTTATATCCTTTAAAACATCCTTTGTAGGGGCACCTGGGTGGCTCAGTGGGTTAAGCCGCTGCCTTCGGCTCAGGTCATGATCTCAGGTCCTTGGGATCGAGTCCCGCATCCGGCTCTCTGCTCAGCAGGGAGCCTGCTTCCCTCTCTCTCTCTCTCTCTGCCTGCCTCTCCATCTACTTGTGATCTCTCTCTGTCAAATAAATAAATAAAATCTTTAAAAACAAACAAACAAAAAAAAAAAAACAAAAAAAAACATCCTTTGTAATAAATCAGCAATAGTGAGTAAACTTTTTCTGGGTCCTGGGAGCAAATTACCAAACCCAGGGAGGGGGCCTTGGGAGCCTCTTAATTTGTAGCCAAGTTGGACAGAACTCATGGGTAACCTGGGGACCCACTGATTGCAATTTGACAACTGAAGCAAGGGGGCAGTCTTGGGGGACTGTGCCCTTACCCTCTGGGCTCTGCGCTACCTCCAGGCAGGTAGTGTGAGAATTGCTTGGTGTGGAAGATCCACATATCTGGTCACAGAAGAGTTGTAAGTGCTAAAGGGAAGGAAAGCAGTGAGTTTTTCCCAGGCACATGTAAATATCCACGTTTGAGGAGGAATTTAGTTACTACTGAGTACTTATGTGGTGTAACTTGGTAAAGTTTTCCCCCCAAAATGGTTAGAGATTCTTGGGGCACCTGGGTGGCTCAGTGGGTTAAAGCCTCTGCCTTCGGCTAGGGTCATGATCTCACAGTCCTGGAATTCTCTGCCTGTTTGTGATCTGTCAAATAAATAAATAAAATCTTTAAAAAAATGTTTAGAGATTCTTTAATACAGAGGTCAGGATTTTTAAAGTAAGGATTTCAGACATAATCAGCATCATAAATTAGAACCATCGTCTTATAAAAAGAGAGGCTATCATCTCAAATAATCTGGAAGGATATAATGTCAGTACTAAAAACTTGAATAAATTGAGCTTTCTGGAAAGCTGACTACTTTGTTCATTTTTTTTTCTCACCTACCAAGGACCAGTGAAAATTTCATGAACCAGCCAGCACCACCCTTTAGGAGCCCCTACTCTCGGGATCCCCTCGAAGCACTTAGGAATCGCACTTAGGAATCACATTCAACCGTAAGAGAACTCTTGAAAGCAGTAGCTTAAACAAATCAGCACTTGTACTTTTCGCATGGAAATAGAAGTTTAGAGCTAGCCCCACCCAGATGAATACAGCTACTCCATGATGCCATTAAGGATTCTGGCTTTTTAAAAATTTTCTTCTGCTCAGCAGTCCTTAGTGTGAGTTTGCCATCATCTGATCCCAAGACGTGTGCTGTTTTCCAGCAAAGTATAGGCAATGAAGAGTCTGGCTCCAAGCCAGAACCCTATGTGTGATCTTTCAGGCCTGATCGTGGGCAGTTAGGGGCTATGGACCTGAAGGCCTTTACCTCCTGACAGGCCTCCTGGGAAAGCCCCCTACACACACCAGACTAGGTGCACAGCCTAAGCACTGCGCCCTCTGAGGGGAGTTGTGGTCAGCGGCTTTGGCCTCACCTTACCATCACCCCAGCCTTGTTCTTAGGCAAATCTACATCTCTAGCCCCGCTTCCTTCTTCTGGAGGCCTAATGGAGCTAAGGGGTGAGGGCCCTAGCCATGGCCTCTCTCAGGTGCCTTTGCCGAGACTAACGTACTGGGGGTCCTTAAAGATGTCTTTTCCACTCTGACCCAGTATTCAGTACTCTTCCACCCATCGCCTCTCCCCGCTTCCTCCTCCTAAACTATAAAATGGCAGGAGATTTTTGTTTAGGCAGTAAGACTGTGCCCATATCCGCACCAACCCACCTGACCCTTGTGTGGCACTGTGCCATGGAGAAAAATGGAACATAAGGGGAGCCAATGCTTTCTCCCATTTCGTATCTTGCTTATAACATCACAGTAACTGATTAAAGACTTGACTGTAACTTTTCATGTTCACTGCTCAGACAGTGAACAGCTGAACAGTGAACAGCTGAACAATGGCAGCTCAGCTCTCTCCAGCTCAGTTCCACTTTTGACAGGCAGGAAGAAGGGAAAGGGCAAAGAGTGTTGACCAGTTGAATTGACCTGTCTTTTAATGAGCTTTCTCCCAAACCCCATCTAATGCCTTATGCTTCTATCTTATTGGTCAGAAATGTATCACATGGTCATCCCTAGCTGCAAGGGAGGCTGGGAAATGCTCTTTAGCTGGGCACACTGCCACCGTGAATGAAACCAGAATGGGTTTGAGATACATAACTATTACATCGTGGAACCCCTGCTTTTAGAAAAATTAATGGATGGTGGTTTTTCTATTGTCAGTTTGATTTCACTGGTTTGTATATAAAGATTTAAGGGACACCTTTGTGACTCTGTCATTTAAGCATCTGATTCTTGTTCTCAGCTCAGGTCTTGATCTTAGAGTCATGAGTTCAAGCCCCTCATGGGCTACACAGTGGGCATGGAGCCTACCTAAAAAAAGAAAAAAAATAAAAGGATTTAAGAGAAAAGAATTCTGGAAAGATGGCAGTGACATTTTTTGAATCTCCCCAAATTCCTCCATAAAAATAGAGTATCTGGGATAGCAAAACCAAAAACCTGTGGACAACATCAATAGCAAACTTGGGTGACAAGATATCACCACAAACCCCAAAATTCAAGCAGGTGTAAACCACTAGCCACTTAAAGACTTGCATGGTATCAGCATTTTTGTGGAAAGAAGCAAAGGAAGCAGCTGGGTGTCTGAGAAATCTAAAAATAAGAAAACCCCAAAATAACCAAGAGGTACTCCCTAGAAAGTACAGTGGACCAATAGGAGAAAGCAGCTAGATTTGGGGGCAGTTTGGTACAACCCAGTTTTCAGTTGATGAGTGCAAGGGGTCCAAAGAAGGATCTGAAGAAGTTGGGCTCTGAAAACCAGCCAAAGAGTAGAAACTGCAGGGAATAGAATACAGATAGAGTAGGCCAGGGATATTTGGGGCAAAGAAAAGGGAAATCAGATGAAAGTGGGGGAAGGGCACAGAGCCAGAAGATCCAGAAAGTTTGAAGCCATATTTTTGAACACTTCATGGAAACAGAGAAAGAAGTGATAGAGTCTCAAATTTAGCAAAACTGTCCTAACTCACCCCTCCTTCCTAAATGTGCAGGAAAACGAATTTCATATAAAAATGAGCAGCAGAAAGGACTGCAATCAAACCTCATAATGAAGTTATTATAGGAAAAATGAAAACATGGAGCTGAATAATATCCCTAATGATATGAAAACATTCTGGAAAGACATGCCCACAAAACCAGATGAAAACTGTAATGTAAGATTTCAAAATAAGCTAAAGCAAATTAAGGAAATAATACAATTTCCTGCTCAACAGCAGTGGGGTAGTTCTAACAGCAG